TAAAATTCAACATCATATTGTCACTGAAAGAAGCATTCATTGTTGTGTGTCACGATGATGCTGAAGCAGAGAAGCTACTCACTACAGAAGCCATCACTACTCTTGCTACTCAAAGGTTTACTGTTACGTCATCTCCTGCCCTCAGGGCAAGGAAATCAGTATTCCTAAAAAAACTGGACAAGATTCTGACGTCTCAAACACCTGCTGAACTCAAGTCATCCATCAAGACGCAAAATACTTGGGCTACTGTTGACAGCATTACAAAAATCCCAAATGCAACGTCCATGATCAAGGTCACCTTCACCGACGTGAACATGGCTGCCACTGCACTGAACGAAGGTCTTGCTGTCTACTACTACTACATCAGCCCTACCTACATTGAAGCAGAGAGCTATCACTACATCCAACATTGATGGAACTGTTATTCATACCATCACACCACCAAAGCATGTCCAGTAAAAGACAAGAAGTTCTGCACTACATGTGGTAGTGAGGGACACGCCTTCAGTTCCTGCACTGCTGCTGCTCCAACACAACCAGCGTGCTTAAACTGCAAGAGTAATGATCACCATACACTGGCAGCAAAATGTCCTAGAAAGGATATTATGAAGAAAACACAAGATGCAGCAAAGAAAAAACCTACTAGCAACACTCCAAAATATGCAGCAATTGCAAAAATACAAGCGGGACACTACAAAATTACTTCAAGCATCTACTCAGCCCGCTTCCACCACCACCACTTCCATCACTCCCCCAAACATGTGACGTACGAAGTTTTAAACTACTGTCTACTATACGCTCATATGCAAAACATGCCTGTACCTGGATCATTTAACTCTACCATCAACGAGTTATTTGCATTAAATAACATGCCTTCATTTACATTTCCAGCATCTCCACCTTCTGAAGAAATTCTCAAATTCACCAAAAACTTAATTGCCAACTCTTCTGCAGAAGTTCCATCAACACCACCAACTAGTGACATCAATCCAACAACGACCAATGAGAAGCCTCCACCGCCACCACCTCTCACTGAATCCAACCAATCAGAAGCCTTACCACCAGAAACATCTTCTAATTCCTCTACTGAAGTTGAAAACGAAGCAACACCACCTTCCTCTACTCCACCACTGCCTTCTCTACTTAGCTCACGTCGATTACCTGGAACACCATGGGTTAAACACAAAGGACTCATATTCTACACCACGAGGCTGTACCCTGCAAGCATGACTCACCTAGAACTCATCCAACATCTCCAAGACAACACTGCATCGTACCAAAGCGAAGAAAGACCATTCCCTACCTACAACCAGATACTCCACCAACTCCAAACCAACGAATACTACTACAGCTCTCCATAAGTGTGATACAACTCTCTCGAAAAACAATTTACCGCACTGATAATGGTTTAAGACCATAACCAACTCATCCTGCTTGCTGCCTTCTGACACTCCAGCTCCTACCGCTACCTTTGCCATCTCTCCTAGTGAGCCAAGCAATGGGCATCAGTCAAGCCTCTCTATCTACGTCTCCAGTACTTTTGTACCACATGTCCCAAAGTGGTTGGGCCACTTGCCTTGATTCCTCCTCTTCCCCTCCTCCTCATCCTTTTCCAGTTATTTCCATCCTTCCATATCCTTCTTCCTTCCCATCTTACGACAGCTCTCGTCGTCCTCGATTCGATTCGATTCAATTGTTTCTCTATGGTTATTGTGCATAAGGAATCATACGTTCCTTCCGAATTCCTATTGGTTAGGATATAATGCAACATAACCAATACTCTGTACCCTGTCATAGCGGGTATGTTAGAGTTTGTCTTGTTTTGTAGTTGTTATGGTAGCTTTGGTTAGGGTCTTTTTACTTTACTGACATGTGTAGTACATATATTGTGTGTTAAAGGTGGTTATGGTTTTAGTCATGAGTGAAAATTTCAACTTTAGTAATCTTGTGATGTTGTACATTTGTATGTTGTTTTTGTTGTAATAGGACATGTCAGGTATTCATTTTATATTGTTAAACTATGTAAAGTTTAATTTTGGTGTGTTTTCTTTGAGTACTGTGGAAACTTATTTGGTACCTAAAGTTCCACAGGACATATCCAGCATGGCCGTAATGGAATGGCTGAGCTGGGTGGCCCTTAAACCCTCCCAAATAAACACATTTCTCTACCCAGGTTGGCGATTGATGGTAGGCACTTATTTATTTATAGATTTACCCTTCAGGGAAGGAGAAGGTAGTTTTACTGTTAGTATATTAATATTAGGTTTACTAAGGCAACTGTAGATAATAATAATGTAGACCTAAGACCTTAACATAGGTAGTAATAGGCCGATAATGTAAGCAAACACTAGGATAAGTTAGCTAGGGAGAACTGGCAGCCCTAGTTTGAACAAAGAGACGAGGGTCTGGAAGAGAGACCAGTTCGTTCTTCTTAAGATAGACACCAACTGGACAAGACGTGCCGTGATCAGCAGACAGCGCCCCCCACGTGTCTTCACATTTGAGACCTGGAGAAATCTGGTAGAGGCACCTCGATGTACCGTAGATGACCTCCTCCGTCAGGCCCATACAGTAAGACAAGACCTCCACTTTATCTCGTAGATTTCTGGCCAGTGTCTGGGGAGAATTGTGAGTGAGTTTGATCTGTGGGCCTGTGTTGCAGCTGGCAGAGCATGCCCAGTAGGTACCAGTGTCTCTCGTCAGTCTGGAAGCTAGTGTCCTTGTCTGCATAGTTATACTAGGCGATACATACCCTCTTGGATATAGGAATTTCTGAGGTGCAGGCAGGTCACTAATAATAATTGAATATTGCAGGAATTAAGGCTCCCGGTTGCACGTGGTTTCTGAGGGGAAGTTCAAAGGGGCTAAGGCTAAGCTTAGGGAAGTTGAAGATCAGGATATATGCTGCAACACCAAGTAAGTTAGTCCTTTATACGTGCATGCAGGCGAGTTTCTTGCAACATCAATCATTTGTGAAAATCTGTCCTATAAGCCACTTGTGAGGCTGAGGTACCGACCTCAGAGCTCGGTGTCAACAGAGTTTGCCAGGGTAGGCGACTCACTTGGAGGCAGTCCACACAAATTTTCACAGGTACAATGGCTTGGCGGCAACTATTAATGACTGTTATACTTTAGTGAGGTTTGTCTTAGCGTGTATTGTTTGCTATAACAAGTTGTTATAATACTTGTTACCGCCAGGAATAACCTGGTACTAGTAGCACAAAAGAATGTTTTTGTATTCCTGTACTTTTATCATGCATCCTTTGTACTTTTGTAAGATTTCTAATAAAAATAAAAAAAAAAAAAAAAAAAAAAAAAAAACTGCCCACAGGATGGGTATGGGGTGCATAATAAAGATGAAGGAAACAAGGGGAAAGTCATGGAGGTATGGAAAGCTAAGAGATGAGATCGAGTAGATTGGTAGGGAAAGTTCTGGGTCTTTGGGATTCCGCAGGAAGAGTTGAAGATGTGGGTGAAAAATGGAAGAGAATCTACAGCAACAGTAAGAATGGAAGAAGACAAAGAGGTAAGAATGTATAGTATATGGAATAAGTGGTAAGTTACTAAATGCTGTAAAGAGTTTTTATGAGGATAGTGAGGCTCAGGTTAGGGTGTGTAGAAGAGAGGGAGAATACTTCCCGGTAAAAGTAGGTCTTAGACAGGGATGTGTAATGTCACCATGGTTGTTTAATATATTTATATAGGGTGTTCGGGAGAGAGGTGGGATTAAATTATGGGGAATCAAATACAAAATGGGAATTGACACAGTTACTTTTTGCTGATGATACTGTGCTTATGGGAGATTCTAAAGAAAAACTGCAAAGGTTAGTGGATGAGTTTGGGTGTGTGTGTAAGGGTAGAAAGTTGAAAGTGAACATAGAAAAGAGTATGGTGATGAGGGTATCAAATGATTTAGATAAAGAAAAATTGGATATCAAATTGGGGAGGAGGAGTATGGAAGAAGTGAATGTTTTCAGATACTTGGGAGTTGACTTGTCGGCGGATGGATTTATGAAGGATGAGGTTAATCATAGAATTGATGAGGGAAAAAAGGCGAGTGGTGCATTGAGGTATATGTGGAGTCAAAAAAACGTTAACTATGGAGGCAAAGAAGGGAATGTATGAAAGTATAGTAGTGCCAACACTCTTATATGGGTGTGAAGCTTGGGTTGTAAAATGCAGCAGCGAGGAGGCGGTTGGAGGCAGTGGAGATGTCCTGTCTAAGGGCAATGTGCGGTGTAAATATTATGCAGAAAATTCGGAGTGCGGAAATTAGGAGAAGGTGTGGAGTTAATAAAAGTATTAGTCAGAGGGCAGAAGAGGGGTTGTTGAGGTGGTTTGGTTATTTAGAGAGAATGGATCAAAGTAGAATGACATGGAGAGCATTTAAATCTGTAGAAGGAAAGCAGGGTAGGGGTCGTCCTCGAAAAGGTTGGAAGGGGTAAGGGAGGTTTTGTGGGCGAGGGGCTTGGACTTCCAGCAAGCGTGCATGAGCGTGTTCAGTAGGAGCGAATGGAGATGAATGGTATTTGGGACCTGATGATCTGTTGGAGTGTGAGCAGGGTAATATTTAGTGAAGGGATTCAGGGAAACCGGTTATTTTTATATAGTCGGACTTGAGTCCTGGAAATGGGAAGTACAATGTTGCCTGCACTCTAAAGGAGGGGTTTGGGATATTGGCAGTTTGGAGGGATATGTTGTGTATCTTTATATGTGTATGCTTCTAAAGTGTTGTGTTCTGAGCACCTCTGCAAAAACAGTGATAATGTGTGAGTAAGGTGAAAGTGTTGAATGATGATGAAAGTATTTTCTTTTTGGGGATTTTCTTTCTTTTTTGGGTCATCCTGCCTCGGTGGGAGACGGCCGACTAGTTGAAAAAAAAAAATGTTTAGAATACTATAGTGTATTGTTCATATTATTAATCAAGTCAGATACAGGTTGATCATCTCTTAGGCCAAGATTGATGTTAAAGTCTCCTGCTAGTAGTAGATAGTGCTTATTCAATTGTGTACCTGTAAACAGTGCTTTTAGTTTAGTACTAAACGCTGGGATATCAGTATGAGGCATCCTGTTATTGCCCCAATAGCTATAGGATTTTTTTTTTTTTTTTTAGAGATAAGTTTGCATTTATTCACCATATTCATCATTGATAGATATGGTCTTGCTACATAATAGTTCATTACAATAGATAACAATATGTCCCCCAATTTCTTCTGGCCTGCTGTGTATCCTGGTAGTGTGCAGATGTCTATTGTGTCTTGCTTAAGCCAGGTTTCAGTAAGCACACAGGATCTTTAATGATTCTTTAATGGACTCTACGAGTGCCAGGTCATCCTAAGTGTTTGCTTAGGGATCTAATAAATACATTGGATGCACACAAATTGATTGAACAAACTAATGTGAGCTTGTGTTATACTAATCACTACATGGCACCTATTACTCAAGCAAACATATCCCAAAAAGAGGTCTAACAGAGGGATAAATGTTTCCTGTAATGGGTCAGCTCACAAGAAAAAGTTACTGTATGTGCAACTTACTATGCAAAATCCCTTCTAGAACCAGTGACAGGAAGACTCAAGTGTTTGAAGAGCCACGTACACCTTCATCAAGGCTGCACAACTGATGTACTACTTGAATTTCCATAAAGATTAAAGTATTCCAAGCATCAGCTACGATTTCATAAAGGCTGTAGCATTAAACTGTCTCGAGTTTTCTCACCAGCTGTTGTCCTGAAACATTTTCTCATCAGCTGTTGTCCTGAAACAAGTCAAGAAGTCAAATCCAGTGACTTCAAAAACATGTATTCAACAACCATTAACATTACACTTGTACATATACAGTGCAACTTCAATATACCACCTTATTTCATTCCAGAAGGCTCTTCAAGTGCCGCTCCATTTGAGTATCGAACGAGTTCTTCCCAACCAATTTCCTGCTTGGTTGGCTGTTATCACTAATCATCAAAACCCCCATGGTGACTTATTTATACAAATACAAAAATAAATAAATACAAAATACTTTACAGTGAAGTTCTGGCAGGTTGTACTATTTGTTTGTTCAAGGGCTGAGCTCTGTTCGAGTAGGGAGCTGGTTGTATACCAAAGTTCCACTGTACACCCTCCTCAACAAAAAATTAACATCACATGAGAATTACAACCAAATAATCAACATTTTTAAAAGACTTTAATACATAATAACTGGGCAGTCAATTTTCTTAATCATATTGCTGCCAATTGCTACTACTAAGATACTCAATTACTTCTTGTATAGTTTCCTCAAAGTTTAGCACTTTACACGCCCATTTTATTAAGTGAAGACCAACATGACCAGATTTTGTTGCAACCCGAGTAAAATACCTTTAATCTATCCAGGGTTCATGTCGTATCAGATACTTACTCAGGTCTGAATGTTAGGTATACAGTTATGTTCAGTCGCTATATGGCCCAGAAACTACTATTCTTTTCTTAAGGAACCAACATTTTCAGAGCTTCACTTTGAGGTTATCCTCTTTTTCCCATTGCCCTTTCCAGTTTTACGACATGTGTAGGCACATCCTGAGACATCGTGATGAGATCGTCTAGGCAGACTATAAGGGTGTCACCCAGGAGAGTACAGAAGATCGTAATAATTGAGCAACTGAATGTGATGGGGCTTCCCCATAATCCAAAAGGCATCCTTTCTCACTGATAATGACCGGTACGCATGGAGAATGTGGCCAATTCTTTACTCTGGTCAAGAGGAATCTGCCAAAAAAACTTGGAGAAGGTTAAAAAAAAAAAAAAATATTGCCAATGCCCTACAATAGGTTGTTCAGAACTGGCAATGGGGAAATGATCTGTACTCAGTTACAAGGTGCAATGTTCTGACGTTCTGTCTTTCCTGGGAATGAGGCCGAACAGAGCATTCCGAGAAGTGGACTCCTCAATAACTCCTTTGTGGCGAATGTTAGTGACGAGTTCAGTGAAAACTTTTCACACGAGGCAATCTGTAGGTAGGCACATATGTAGATTTAATGCCTTTATTGAAAAGGATACAGTGAGAAATAAGCAGGGTCAAGCCTGTGGGCTCACCGTCTAGTGCGACCACACATCAGGCACTATGAAGAACTGAGAAATTTTGTAACTTCTTCTGTCATTATAAGGTCATCCTCCAACACTGGTCGAATGATGGAAGATTCAACAGTAGACAAGCCTGGGAGGATTGAACCTGCAAATTGGTCTGCTGGTACTTTGCCTTCCACTCTCACTGGGGGAGGGAATCTGACAAAGTTAACCGCCAAGACATTCTTCCTCGAGGTCAAGTTTTTACCGTGGACACTAACGACAAAAACTCTCAGTTTACCACACTGTACAGTGTGCAAAGATAGTTCAAGAGAGACCCTCGACTCTGCACGTATATTAGGGCCCAGCTTTACGGCATTCCGCCAATACGAACGTTTCAAATTATGACCAAAACTACATACGGCTCCCTCCGCCTGTCTTTCTAATATGGTCACAGCACCCCACCCGGTTTCTTTACAGTCTCTGTGAGCTCTGCGAGACCGCGTCTCTCCATTATGTCTGGAAACTTGACAATATTTCAAGTGTTTTAAAGTCATTTCATGTTTTATATACAGTGGACCCTCGAGTTTAGTAGTGCCGTTTCTGTATGCAAAACTATTTTTATTATCTATAAAATGTACTGTTTGCTAATATTTTTGGGTGTCTGGAATGGTTTAATTGGATTTACATTATTTCCTATGGGAAATATTAACAAAACATACATTTTAGAGATAATAAAAATAGTTTTGCATACAGAAAAGTCACTACTAAATTTGGGAATTCGAGGGTCCACTGATAATTATACTGTGTACCTGTACATAAATAAACTTGTACACATTAAAATCACCAAGTGTGTTTTATTAGTCTTCAAGCCAAATTAATAATGATAATACACAATAAATAACAAAAAAAGGCACAATACCGGGACTCTAAAATTACTCTAAAATTTGTTCATGATTGCAGCCATGTATAAAACCATTTTAAACTTCGTAAGTTCATTACCTTTGTAACTTGTGAGTTCATTACCTTTGTAACTTGTGAGTTCATTACCTTGTACCTAGTTCAGCCATCAAAACTTTGGAGCCTGGTCCCTGGACCCATTGTGTACCTATGTAATCTGTAAATACCTTTGTAACTTGTCATGATTGTGACTAGACCTACCTGGAGTTCATTACCTTTGTAAATTGTGAGTTCATTACCTTTGTAAATTGTGAATTCATTACCTCTGTAACTTGCTCAGCTATCAAAACTTTGAGGCCCAGTCCCTGGACCCATTATGTACCTCTGTAATCTTTTGACTACCGCCCACAGGATGGGTATGGGGTGCATAATAAACATATTAAACTAACTAACTAACATAAAAGAGAGAAGCTTATGACGACGTTTCGGTCTGACTTGGACCATTTACAAAGTCACAGTCGGTCCAAGTCGGACCGAAACATCGTCATAAGTTTCTCTCTTTTATGTGCAGGTTATTTGATAATACACAATATTAATCACTACTTCAACACCAAAGAAAATGCGTATACAATATGACTGGGCTAACTATAAAAATTATTCTTTTGTATGCCTTCACTCAGAGCATCAGTTCATCTAAAAATGGTGTTACACAAGAATGGGAGTGTTGCTCTGTTTATTCTACTGTACCAATGTGGAGACAACTTGTACATAATAAAGTGTTTTTAATATGGTATAACACTTATTTACCCCTAACTCACCTATGGAATTTGTGCATGGGGCTAAACAACAATAAACCATCTCAGACCATTAATTATTTATTCATTTATTTATTTTATGTCTTTGCAAACAGTACATTGAGATTTTATATTTACAATAGTGGGTTGCAATGCAAAGAGAGCCTCTATTAGGCCTAGGCATTATGGGCCAACTTAACATTATTGGCTTACAGTCTACTTAACACTAAGCAGTATATCATAGTTGTACAGTAGGATAGTAATTACTTCAAAGTTGTACAGTAGAAAATTAACCCTTTCAGGGTCGACAGGCCCTCTCCCAGACTTGTTCTCAGGGTTGCCAAATTTAAAAAAAAAAAAAAGAAAAAAAAATTATTTTTTCTTATGAAAAGATAGAGAATCTTTTCCTGATCATAATGGCACCAAAAGTATGAAATTTGATGGAAAACTTACAGAATTATGCTCTCGCGAAGTTAGCAGTCTCGACAATGTTTACGCATCAGCGATTTTGCCCACTTTGATCCCTATTTTCGGCCAATTCCAGTGTACTAGTCAACAAAAATCATAACTACTTCGCTAGAACTCCATTTTTCCTATCGAATGAGTACATGAAACCACCCATTTACCGATTACAACTATCCAATAAAGTGGTCAGAATTTAGCAATTTTGCCAATTTCACACAAATTTCAGAAGATGCCAGTTTCCAAATAGGGTCCAGAATAAACAAGAAAGACATTTCTGGCACTAAAATAACATTTCCTCTGTTCATTATTCACATCCCCAGGCCCCTCTTACATTTCGTTTGCTTTCCACTTTGAATTTTTGTTCTCACAAAAAATAGAAGATTTACTGTTATGCAGACTACTGCACTAGTGTAGAAATGGTATAAATAATATCAGCACACTTGTGAAAGAATATTAGACTCACCAGTTGACGTGTATTGGACGCGTAGCATGATTTGTTTACTTTTGAACTTTGGCAAAAATCGAACATTTCTGCTACTTTGAGCTCAATTTCAAGTTACTTTTCATTGTGAAACCAATGAAAATCATCTCAATTTCTGTAATATGTCTTTCATTCTATAAAATAAGACCAGGAAAACAGGTTCAGCAACTTCAAGCACTCCAAGGTGTTTTATCTACGTTATGCGTGCCGTGAAGGTTCTCTGTACATTTTCTAGGTCAGCAATTTCACCTGCCTTGAAAGGTGCTGTTAGTGTGCAGCAATATTCCAGCCTAGATAGAACAAGTGACCTGAAGAGTGTCATCATGGGTTGGATAAATACACGAGTGGGTGTGGGTGGGTAAGAGCTGAACCTGACTGACTGGCTACTAGGTCGGATGCAGTGCTCCTCAATTAAGTGATGTGTCTGACCTCACTAGATTGAGGCAGTGGCCTAAGCCAGTAGGGAGAATTGGGGCTGCCCCGCATGGACCAGTGGGCCTGTTGCAGTGTTCCTTGTTTCTTATGTTCTTATGAGGGCAAATATTTTATTAGTGGGATGGATCTATCAAGGACCTTCCTAGTATAGGCCAACAGGCCTTCTGCAGTGTTCCTCCTTTCTTATGTTCTGTGCACAAATTATTTGTCTCTAACCATAAAATTCAATACAACAACACACTATTATAAGCAGAGCTAAACTTTTCAAGTTCATAAAGTAGAACTGCTCCATAAATCACATAACTGACACTTTTAATGAGGTAAATTAAATCTGCACCACACAAGAACAAACAAATTCACCATCACAAAATCTCTGTCTGGCCTGTTTTTTTATTTTGTTTAATTAACCATTCAGTCTATTCTCTGATGCAATGTCCATCGCTTAAATGTCCGTTCAGTCAAATGTCTCTCGGCCAAGCGTCTGTCTGTCTGTCGGATTTTAATAAGGACAACACACAAGTCAGTCTGCCTTTACTCAGGTTCTTGTTATTATTGTTAGGGTTTATAGGACCACTGACACCGTGTGCCGTATCAAGCCCTGCCCTCCAGCACTCACAAAACAAACCTCGACCAAAGTGCCAGCATGTTCACTAATAACTGTCCTTAATATGCCCTCAAGCCAACATCTCCTGCTGACAGTCACTCTGAGTAACTCAGGTCCTGAGCTGTAGCTTCTGACCTAATTTGTACTGGCATCTGTGTACTGTCACAGTCGGGGATTTTCTTATGCTGAACTTAGATTCAGTATTATGGGAGTTTTGTGACTTTTGTGGAGGATCTGCAGATGGTCCCTACTTAGTGTCGTTATATTATCTCCTTGTTCCTGATTCTGTGTTGCTGTTGCTTGTTATATTGCTGTTCGGCTTATTAGTCGTTTTATTGTTCACGCAAGCTGTTCTGATTGCCAGGTTGGTCAAGAAGTTAGTTTATGTGAGGACTTTTAGTCAGTCACTGGTTAAGTCTAGTCGAGTTTTGAGACATAGCAAACTACTTAAGAGCACTTACACATATACTTTTTTTTTTCCAACAAACTGGCCATATCCCACCGAGGCGGGGTGGCCCAAAAAAGAAAAACAAAAGCTTCTCTTCTTAAATTTAGTAATCTATACAGGAGAAAGGGTTACTAGCCCCTTGCTCCCAGCATTTTAGTCGCCTCTTACAACACGCATGACTTACAGAGGAAGAATTCTGTTCCACTTTCCCATGGAGATAAGAGGAAGTAAACAAGAACAAGAACTAGTAAGAAAATAGAGGAAAACCCAGAGGGGTGTGTATATATATGATTGTACATGTATGTGTAGTGTGACCTAAGTGTAAGTAGAAGTAGCAAGACGTACCTGTAATCTTGGATGTTCATAAGACAGACAAAAGACGCCAGCAATCCTACCATCATGTAAAACAATTATAGGCTTTCATTTTACACTCACTTGGCAGGACAGTAGTACCTCCCTGGGTGGTTGCTGTCTACCAACCTTCTACCTACACACACATACTTACTTGTATATATTAGTACACCTACCATCCGACTTACGACCGAGTTCGGTTCCGAGAAACCAGTCGTAAGTCGAAATGGTCGTAAATCGAACTTTACTACTGAATATCAACAAAACATTTTTGTAATGACTTTATTTTATTGTTTTATTTTGGTATTTAATGTTTTACTTTACTTTTTATGTTGTTAGTACTGTATTTTATACTGTAAGGTTTAGGATAAACACTGTGTACAACACAAATACTTGTTTATTTCCCAGAAATTTGGCATAAAAAACACGGTCGTAAGTCGAGTGGTCGTAAGTCGAGCAGGTCGTAAGTCGGATGGTAGGTGTATTATGTTATTAAATGCTAACAATGTACCAGACGGTACTTAAAACCCATAAAGATGTGATATGTGCCTTCAGCACAATACTACTGTACACGAGAGAAGTGTAGCAACTTGTATTATATTCAATTGATTACTTTAATTTACTTTGATATTATATGCCTAGACATCTTTATTGTTATTAATAAACTTATTCAATTTTAATTTCTTTAGTTAGTAGTCTACCAGTTGTAATCCTGAAGCACTATTAATTCTTATTGAATTCTAATGGATAATTGGACAAGGATACTGACTAATTGTTACGAAAACCCAGTAACAGGCTGGATGCTAGAAGGGCAGTCCTTTCTAGTATTACCTGGAGATCTCTCTTATTATTAGATATCGCGTTTTTTGTAGCATTCAGGTATACGCAAATACAGTTACATACATTATCCTACATAGCAGCCTATGTATAGAGAACCTGGGATAACCCAAAAAAGTCAGACAAAGTGACTTATTTTCAATACCTGGCTTGGTCTTGCCATACATGATTTTTAGTAAAGATTATTTTCTCAGTTGTTTGTTGAGCTATCTCATTGAAACTTGTGCAATGTATGATGGAAAGATGCTTCTTAATGTACACCAAAAATAAAAAAGACGGACGATAAATAAGGGAGCTCGCTTCTCAGCCATTAGCCGCCTCTTTGCGGTATATTTTCGTATGTTTTTTTTAGGGTTGTATTCTTGTTTTTTGGGGCTCATTTGATATAATGGAAGATATATTACAGAAATAGACATGATTTTGATTGCTTTCAGGATGAAAAATACCTTGAAACTGAGCTCAAATTATCGGAAATGTTCGATTTTTGCCGATGTTCAATGAACTTTGTGTAAGTCAAGTTGGTTAATTTTATTAAGTGTATTCTAACCTAACCACTCTGTAATCCGGCACACTACAGGTCCCAATGATGCTGGATTTGTGATGGAGGACCTGTATATGCTTCTAAGCTGTTGTATTCTGAGCATCTTTGCAAAAACAGTGATTATGTGTGAGGTGAAAATGTTGAATGATGATGAAAGTATTTTCTTTTTTGGGGATTTTCTTTCTTTTTGGGTCACCCTGCCTCGGTGGGAGACGGCAGACTTGAAGAAAATAAAAAAAAAACTATAATAAAATGCACTCTACTGTATACCTAACATAGTACGTACTTGTTACACAATTTGGGTATACTCGCACGAACATCAAAAATAACTAAAAGTACAATTTACTCGGAATTTTGATCACATTTTTAAAAGTCTGTTATACGAGTGTTTACTTTACAAGGTGAGCAAGGAAACTGGTCCATTATCACTTCATTTAAACTATTTCAGTAATCAATCACTCAATTAATTTGTCTGTTAAATCCAGTAAAGAGACTGAATAATTAGTTTACCTCTGGTGAGAAAGTGTCGGATGAGAGAATGAGCCAGCATCATCTGTCCTGTCCTTAAGCTCCAGCCACAGTCAGTGGTCAGGGAGGAGTCTTGCAATGTTGCAAACTGTCGCCGGTATGTGCACCACACTAGACTGTGGAAGTGCTCCTTCAAGGCCTCCATACCATGCCTCTCAACCTCTACAATCAAAACATTAATAAGACAATATTGGTCAATTCCAAACATTTTGCTATTTTGGAATCTCACAGACATTATAAACCACACAGCTATCATAACCTACTGATGAATAAATCATCACTTTTTAAATTAGACACGTGCCACCATATATACAGTGGATCCCCGCTTTACGATCAGCTCCCAATGCAACCAATTATGTAAGTGTATTTATGAAAGTGCGTTTGTACGTATATGTTTGGGGGTCTAAAATGGACTAATCTAATTCACAATATTCCGTATGGGAACAAATTCGCTCAGTAACGGCACCTGAACATACTTCTGGAATGAAATAATATCGTAAGCCGGGGGTCCACTGTACTTGTTTCTTAGTTACCTCTGTACTAGACTGAAGAAGACACTCGTGGCTCAACATTTCCTCCAATAAACTGTACATTTTTCACACTATAAACCACACACCTATCATAACCTACTTATAAATAAATGAGCATTTTTTGAACTGATCTATATCACGATTTATATTACTCTTCGACTACAAAAATATTACATTACCTTCCTCTCAATTATCTTCGTCTTCACCTAAACATTTATGATAGACACATCCCAGCAGGTACATGGGGGAATCTCAGGAAAAATTTCTTTTGAGATTAACCGCCCAACCTGAAAAAAATCCAGACTGTAATCTCCTACTTATCATTGGTAACCACAGTAATCCTACAGATTTAAGCCTACTAAGCAAGACAGTCAGTCATTTTGCCAATTAAGCACAGTGAATTTTTTTTAACTAACAGATGGACAAAAATCTATCAACATAAAATTCTAATTGAAACAGGATATGAGGCACCACAAGTAAACAAAAATAATAATTTTAAACTGACAAAAACGTATTAACAATTTGCAAGTCAAAACTAATAAACTAATGAAAATATCTGCATAATTTAAATAATCTTTCATAAACTATTTCAATACCTGATGTGTATAACTTTGACATATGTATACCTAACATGATGCAAATGTAGATTTTTCAGTCACGATTTCTACATATTATAAGCTCAAACTTTTAACTAATTGTTGCCATACTTTATAAAAATAATAACAATTAAAATCTTTTATAATTCCATTAGCTTTCTTTTATAATGCAGCCGGGCTGTGGCTTGTACGTTGGTTTGTGTGCAACCAGCAGCAACAGCCTGGTTGATCAGGCTCTGATCCACCAGGAGGCCTGGTCACAGACCGGGCCACAGGGGCGTTGACCCCTGGAACTCTCTCCAGGTAAACTCCGGGTAAACAAATCTGCCAAGATGTGTTGGATGTCAAAGTACAGTGGACCGCCACTTAACGATATTATTTCAATCCAGAAGTCTGTTTGGGTGCTGTTATAGACCGAATTTGTTCCCCTAAGAGACATTGTGAATTAGATTAGTCCGTTTCAGACCCCCAAAAATACACCTACAAAAGCACTTACAAAAATACACTTACATAATTGGTTGAGTTGGGAGCTGATCGTTATGCGGGGGTCCACTGTATACTGGAATCTGACTTCAGAACACTTCCTGACCTTTAACTGACAGCCAAACAATGTATGCATCACAGATATACTGTTCAAACATCAACTATTTCATCATTCAAGGCAATTTTACACCTTGCAAACATTGCAAAATTGCACTAGCAATCTTGCTTCCCACCTCCACCACAAGACAAGCACAGTCCATGGCAAACAATGTAATAATGAGCATTTTTGGCCGGCATGTTACTTACGCCCTTTTGTTTACCCCCCACCTCATATCAATGATATTAACATTAAATTACTTGAATCTGACCTAAGATAACTTTTGTTGGATTAAACTTACATTCATATTACAAGCTTTAGGCAATGTGTCCCATTTATGATGCAAAATAAAAACATACACCATTTTAACTGGGAAATATACAGTAGACCATCAGATAATGCACCATCCGTTAACGCATTTTGCAAAATTGCGGCATATTTTCGGAGGAAATGCCATAAACATCACTTAACATGGTCGAGTACATGTAGGGGGAATGTGGCATGTGCCACAATCTTTTCCCTCTGCCTCATAGTGAACCTAGAGCCCAGCCCATTGTCTGGTATGATAGAGGGTGGGAGAGGGCAAGCTACTGGGTAGGAGCAGGCAAGCTACTGGGTGGGAGAGGGCAAACTACTGGGTGGGAGAGGGCAAGCTACTAGGTGGAAGTGAGCAACCTACTGGGTGGGAAGAGGGCGGGTGAAGGTATGAACAAAGGGCTGAAAGTGGCTCTCGCTGCCATCCCGTGTTTTCTTCACACACTGTGCATACCATCTGGCACTGCAACATGGGTACAGACAGGCAGGTGAGGATATGACCTTGATAATATGCAGGCATTTGGCAGAGAGCTGGGTACAAGCATGGTGGGGGATGTGGGTTGAGGGCAACTGTGAGAGATGGGCGAAAGCCTGATGTTGGGTGAAGGTGTCAGTCCAGAGCCATCCTACCCTCTGACATATGGCCAGGAGGAGGTTGAGGACATGTGCGACAGGGTGGGTGAAGGTTAATGAGAGGTTAAAATACACAGGCAGAGGCATGTGAAAAATAGGCACTGGCTTGGACATTGTGGGTCAGGGTCTGCTAAAATTACTGCAACAGCATAAACCACCAATAAACATTCTTGGCAATGGTTTATAACCAAGATATAAAAATATCATTTATTTTTGGTGTGAGGATTGATTGAAAATGTAGAGCAAGTGTTCTACAGCCTCTCCTCACTTAGCAGACATACTACTTGTTTACCGACGACTCAGACTTACAACAGGCTCTCTGACCAGTATGCATACATGTATATTAGAGCTGATTTCCTCTATTCTGTTTATTACAATATACAGTGGACCCTCGACCAACGGCATTAATTCGTTCCAGAGAGCTAGCCGTTAGTCGAATTTGCCGTTGGTCGAATTAATTTTCCTCATAAATAATGGAAATAGAATTAATCCATTCCAGACACCCAAAAGTATTAAACAAAATATTTTTTACATGAAATATACATTTCCTACACAAAAACGACTGGAACATGCAAAATAAACAATAATTAAATGCCACTTACCTTTATTGTGGAGTTGTTGATGAGTGATGAGATGGTAGGACAGAAGATGCAGGCGTTTTATTGTTTGGAAGGGGAATCTCCTTCCATAAAGACTTGAGGCACTAAGTCCTTTGGTGGGGTTACCTCCCTTCTTGGTTTTTTAATGCCACTAGGACCAGCTTGAGAGTCACTGGACCCCTGTTGCACAAAATATCTTTCCAGAGAGCTCTGTTTCTCACGTGCCCTTAGGATTTCCCTAAAATGGGACACAAGAGTGTCATTGTACATGCTGCCAATACGGTTTGCAACTTCTGTGACAGGATAAAAGTCATCCAAAAATGCTTGTGCCTTTGTAAACATTGAACACATTTCCTTAATCCTTGATGAAGTCATCTTCCTCCATCTCTCTTCCTCCTCCTCTGAAGAACATTCCTGAGATGTGATCCGTTGCTGTTGCACCTGAAGCTCTTGCAGATCTGCAGTGGTTAGTTCTTCCTCGTTGTTCTGCATCAACTCTTCCACACCTTCGTCACAAACCTCCAACCCCAAGGACTTCCCCAATGACACAATAGCTTCCACTACGGGCATAAGCTCCAGAAGGTTAGCCCCAAACCCATCAAAATTCCTCTCTTGTACACACTGTGGCCACAGTTTTCACCAAGCAGAGTTCAAGGTCCTCTTAGTCACTTCCTCCCAAGCCTTACCTATAAGGTTTATGCAGCTGAGGTTATTGAAGTGATCTTTCCAAAACTCTCTTAGGGTTGACTGAGTGTCTGAGGTCACTTCAATGCACTTTTGAAACACTGTTTTTGTGTAGAGTTTTTTGAAGTTTGAAATGACCTGCTGGTCCATGGGCTGGAGGAGAGCAGTTGTATTAGGAGGCAAAAACTTTACTTTAACAAAACCAAACTCAACTGCAATGTCCTCCTGCAAGTCGTAAGGATAAGCAGGAGCATTGTCTATTACCAGGAGGCACTTGAGTGGCAATTTCTTTTCCTGGAGGTATTTTGTCACAGTGGGGCCAAACACACCATAAAACCAGTCCAAGAAAAATACCCTAGTGACCCATGCCTTACTGTTTGATCTCCACAGCACACATAAATTACCCTTGATGATATTGTTTTTCCTGAACACTCGGGGAGTATCAGAGTGATACATCAATAAAGGCTTCACTTTGCAATCACCACTAGCATTATTACACAACATTAATGTCAGCCTGTCTTTCATAGGCTTATGTCCTGGCAGTGCATTTTCCTCCTGAGTAATGTAGGTCCTGTTTGGCATTTTCTTCCAAAACAGACCTGTTGTGTATAAAACAGACCTGTTTCGTCACAATTAAACACTTGTTCAGGTTTTAAGTTTTCAGTTTCTATATATTCCTTAAAGTCCTTCACATATTTTTCAGCCGCTTTTTTTGTCTGAACTGGCTGCCTCGCCATGCCTTACCACACTGTGTATGCCACTACGATTCTTAAATCTCTCAAACCAGCCTTTATTATTATTTTTTTTATTATCACACTGGCCGATTCCCACCAAGGCAGGGTGGCCCGAAAAAAAAAACTTTCACCATCATTCACTCCATCACTTCATCAATATCATCACTATTTTGAGGCATTTTCTTAATGAGATCATCATGCAACTGCCTTGCCTTTTCACAAATTATAAACTGAGAAACACTATCTTCTGATAATTATTTTTCGTTTATCCATACCAGTAACAGTCTCTCTACCTCTTCAATTATTTGCGGCCTCCGTTTTGAAAACATACTTGCACCTTTTGCAACAATATCTTCCTTGATTGCCTTTCTGTTTGCAAAGATAGTATTGAGGGTTGAATGGGATTTGTTGTATTGCCTTTCCAACTCGGACACACGCACTCCACTCTCGTATTTTTCAATTAGGTATCTCTTTCTTCATTTCCATCGTAATTCTCACCCTTTTTAACACAGGCTTGGCAATAGAAGCTTTCTTGGGGCCCATGGTGGCTTATTTAGCAGTTACAAGCACTAAAAACACTGGAATAATAAAAAATATATGGCAGGCACACGTGGAATCGACTGCAACAGCTTGTAAACAACGGCACACTGAGTCTTGGAGTGGCTGGGCCTGCTCAGGCTGCGCTCCCACCGCATGGACATGTTCCGGACGAATGCCGTTAGATGAATTTTTCGTCACTGGTAAAGCCATTTTTTATGCCAAAGAGCGCTGTCAGATGAATTTGCCATTACTTGATGCCGCCGTTAGTCGAGGGTCCACTGTACAGTAAACTACTGTATAAACATTTAAAAATATACCAGAAATGTTATAAATGGTACAAAGGTGATGTTAAAACAATATCAAAGATGGTTGACACAAACCCACTACCATCACAGTATGCTTCTCGCTTAGCGATGAATTTGTTTACCGAACAATACTCCATTACTACCAACTCCTTAGTACTCAACAGGGTAGTTCCGATGGCAAATGCTCAGTTTCTTGTGATTAATGCACTGTACACAAGATATATCAGAAAAACAGCTGACCATTGCATGGATTTCAATACAGGAATAAACCAAAAATTGGACTCAAAGTGCTCCCAAACTTCAGCATTTGTGATTGCATAAATCTCTATTACATCAAACTTTACATTTCAGTGTCATTAACTTTTAGAAAAGATTCTCTATTATTTTACAAGATAAACTTTTTCTTGATAAATACTGGTAAGAAAGGCTGCTTTTTTTCTGTAGGTTGCAAACCCTTGAAGCATTAATTTACTATCACTTAATATATTAAATTAGTTAATATACAAAATCAGTTACTTTTTAAACATTTACTCTCAGTGTAATCACTTAACCCTTTGACTGTTTTCGACGTATAAATACGTCTTACGAGCCAATGTTTCTGACGTATATATACTCAATAATTCTAGCGGCTTCAAATCAAGTGGGAGAAAGCTGGTAGGCCCACATGTGAGAGAATGGGTCTGTGTGGTCAGTGTGCACCACATAAAAAAAATCCTGCAGCACACATTGCGTAATGAGAAAAAAAAAACTCTGATCGTTTTTTTGGAATAAAACGCCGACTTTGAGGTGTATTTTCGTATAGTATTTATCGTTGTATTCGCGTTTTCATGGTCTTAGGTGATAAAATGGAAAACATATTACAGAAATAGAGATGATTTTTATTACTTTTACGATGAAAACGACCTTGAAACTGAGCTCAAAGTAGCGGAAATGTTCGATTTTTACCAATGTTCAGGAGTAAATAAATCACACCACACGTCCAATACACGTCAACTGGGGAGTCTAATATTCTTTCACTAGTGCACTGATATTGTTTATACCATTTTTACAATAATGCAGTCGTCTGCATAACAGTAAATTTTGTATTTTTTGTATGAATAAAAAATCAAAATAGAAAGCAATATAATATAAGAGGGGGCCTAGAGATGTGACTAATGAACAGAGCATATGTTATTTTAGTGCCACGAATGTCTACCTTGTTTATTCTGGACCCTATTTTGAAATTGGCATCTTTTTATTTTGCGTGAAATTGGCCAAATTGCCAATTTCTGACCACCATATTGGGTAGTCCAAATTAGTAAATGGGAGGTTTCTTGTACTCAGCTGATAGATAAAATGGAGTTCTAAAGAAATAGCTATGAGTTTGGTCAACTGGAACAATGGAATTGGCTGAAAATTGGGCTCAAAGTCGGCGAAATCGCCGATACGCATATGTCACCGAGACCGCTAACTTCGCGGGAGCATAATTCCACGAGTTTTCGACCAAATTTCGAACTTTTGGTGTCATTACCATCGGGAAAAGATTCTCTATCATTTCATAAGAAAATTTTTTTTTTTTTTTCAAAAATTGAGCGACATAGAATGACAGTTTCAGAGAGGGGCCTGAAACAGTCAAAGGGTTAATGTAGAAACAAATACATGCATTATTACTATTAAGGTGCCTTGTAGCTGGATTGGTAGCGCACTCAGCTCACACACACAGGTGCGGGGTTCAGCCTCCGGTACAGCTGGAAACATCAGGACATGTTTCCTTAAGACACCTGCTGTCCCTGTTTACATAGCAGTAATTAGGTACTTGGGTGTTAGTGGACTGGTGCAAGTTGCTTCCAAGGGACAAACTTAACCGAGTTTCTAGGAAATGCTCTGTATAAACATGGACTTTCTATATAGTATATTATCATTTATGTCACTATGCCAAATACAATGACTCAAACATTATGATCCATATACATGTACTCATCATTACCATTCACCATTATGCTTCACCATTATAACTCACCATTACCACTCACCCTATCTGATGTTATTCCATAAACCCAACATTTTTGTTTTGACGGATGTTTCACTCTCTGGAGTCAAACCAGCACTTTTTGATTGTTTTTCAGGACCAGAGCTGAAATATGACTTGTTAAAAGAGGCAGACATTGCTAATGTATGTGATGGTAGCAGACTTGTTACTTTGGTGCTCCTAGAGCTGTTCTTCCCATCCCCAGGCATATTACAAAATACAGTGGACCCCCAGTTAACGATATTTTTTCATTCCAGAAGTATGTTCAGGTGCCAGTACTGACCGAATTTGTTCCCATAAGGAATACTGTGAAGTAGATTAATCCATTTCAGACTCCCAAACATACACGTACAAATGCACTTACATAAATACACTTACATAATTGGTCGCATTGGGAGGTGATCGTTAAGCGGGGGTCCACTGTATTTATTACACTCATGGTTAGAAGTGGGAGATTTACACAGGTGAACTCTCGCTAGTTTGCTACTCGGGCCTGTCGGTAGGCCCGGCTGTTCGCCGACATGCCTCGAGGTAGGTTCCTCAAAATAATTTGCCACATAGACGGAGTCACAAGGCCATCTTGGAGCCTCGGTACATTCCTGAGCCATGTGGATGGGTAGCACAGTCTGGCTCCTTAAATCCTGACTGAGTGCCACTTGAGGCTCTTCTGTGTTGATGCCGGGAACTGCCATGTTTGACAGCTACAGACTGCAAGCTGGGGATCATTCTTCATTTGTCCTAGAAAAATGAAGGAATATTAATAATAGTAGAGTATGATACTAGCATAAAACTCTATTAGTACAGTATTAATATATATACTAAAACCTATAATTAACAGACCCCCAATTAACACATTTCAGTAATTACTGGCCCCAAATCTGCACACAGAAATCACCAACCTATGAAATCAGAAGACTCAACAGGAGTGATTTGAGTGCACAGAAATAACACAAAAAGTGGCAGGGGCCCAAGACTGTTCAACAGCCTCCCAGTACACATAAGGGGGATTATCAATAGACCCCTGGCTGTCTCTGAGAGGGAACTGGACAGATACCAAAGTCAGTATCTGACCAGTCAAGCTGTGATTCCTATGTTGGATTGCATGCAGCCAGCAGTAACAGCCTGTTTGATCAGGCCCTGATCCACCACAAAGCCAAGGGTGCTGACCCCCAAAACACCTTCTGGGTAAATATACAATCACTGGAGTTATTAAACAAGATACCAAAAAGCCAATATTTCTGGATTAGGCTCGTAACCATACTGTCTGGTTATTTTCTGAATCACTCAATTAAGTCTGACGATATAAAAAAAAACATGGAACGGATGGGGTTTGAACATGTAATAACCACTGGGCATGTTTCCTTAAGACACCTGCTGTCCTTGTTCATTTAGCAGTAAGTAGGTACCTGGGTGTTAGTGGACTGGTGTGGGTGGCATCCTGGGGACAAAACTGACCTAAGTTGTAGGAAATACTCTGCATAACCAGGAACTTTCTTTATAGTATGTCACTGATGTCAGTTATGGTCTGCATAAGTTGTATCATGTACAGCCTCTCTTCACTTAGTGACATACTCGTTTATGGGCTCTCTGACCAGCATTTATACCTAAATAATGTATATTAGAGCTGATTTCCTCTATTCTGTTTATTTCAATATACAGTACACTACTATATAAACATTTCAAAATATACCAGAAATGTTATGAATGGTGCAAAGGTGACATTAAAACAATATGAAAGATGACTGACACAAACTCACTGCCATTATAGTATGCTCCTCACTTAGTGACGAATTCGTTTAACCACATGGTCTCAGGAACGTAACTCCGTCATTAAGTGAGGAGAGGCTGTACTTGTAGAAGATTATTATTATTATTATATTATTATTAGGCATATAAGAAAGCCACTAATTTTGAAATTAATTTCAAGCAAACTAATCCTAAAACAAAAATGTTACTTACGATTTAGTAGATGTTCTTGTTCAGTTAACCCATAAATGGTCCAGTGCCCTGAATATTTTGAAAAATAAAATGTTTTTTTTTTTTTTTATTAATGAAAATAAAGAGCACATTTTTCTAAGTGTTATAGGATAAAAGAAATTTAGGGTCAGTACTTACAGAGATATGAAGCCGAGGAGGAGAAGGAGCAGAGGCATCGTAAGGGATGCGGGGGGGCGCCCTGGGTGACACCATTTAGGGGGTGACACCATTTAGGGGGTGACACCATTTAGGGGGTGACACCATTTAGGGGGTGACACCATAGAGCCTCTAAAGAAGGTAACACTAATGACCAAAACCATGCTGCAGCAACCTAAGAGAAAAATTCTTCGTTTTTATATAGCTTATTATAGGATTACATAGTACAAATAGGCTTATATAGGGAAAATCATTGATTTTGATGTGATAGATGATTTTGCAGGTTGGAAGGCAAGGAAATTAAATACCAGATTCTTTGAGATGTTAACTGTACTCAAGGTTAAATCGGAACTATAGTTTTTATTCATTTTTCAGTTTTTTTTTTTTCATTGTTGAAAATGAATAAATGTAGGATCTGTTGCCTATACTCAAAGTGGTATTTGAGTTTATGTTTCCTCAATATTAGTACGATTATTTATTTTATCATTAATAAAGTTCGCTTTATGGCCTTTAAACGTTCTCACTGCTAAACATTAGTCGCTGGTCATGCAGCAGTGATGTAACTGGAGTTTACCACCCCTATCCCCCCACCCTTGGATTTCATGGGGGTGACACCAAAGATGCTGCCCCGGGTGGCACCAATGATACCGCCTCGGGTGACACCAAAGATGCTGCCCCGAGTGACACCAATGATACCGCCTCGGGTGACACCAAAGATGCTGCCCAAGGTGACACCAATGATTCCACCCCAGGTGACACCAACTCTAGCGACGCCTCTGAGGAGGAGGAGGAGGAGGAGGAGGAGAAGGAGAAGGAGAAGAAGAAGAAGAAGAAGAAGAAGAAGAAGAAGAAGAAGAAGAAGAAGAAGAAGAAGAAGAAGAAGAAGAAGAAGAAGAAGAATACATAATAATAATAATAATAATAATAATAGGTAATAATAAGTTCTCTTGAAGCATGAAAAACAAAGTCCACCCTGACAGAGACATGATGAGATAACATCTGATAAGAGCTGACGTTTGATGAGCATACTCGAGGGTGCAGTGATAACACTTGATAAGAAAAGATTAGAGGTCACATTTGATGAGCATCGGCCCTCCCTTTGTTTTCGCTGGTACACAAACATGTCTGTGTCTATTTGTCTGTCTGTCAAGCTCCCCTTCTATCTGTCTATCCGTCTAGCTCTCTGTCTCAGAGAGAGCCACAAGACTGTGTCATCACGTTTACTCACATCTTCAAGCAGAGTATAGCACTTTGTCTGGATTTTTTGGGTTATCCTAGGTAATTTACACTATATATATTTGTATTTATGTGTATCTGTGAGACAGAGATAGACAGAGACAGATAGAAAGAGATAGACAGAGACAGAGAAAGATAGAGACAGAGATAGAGGCAGAGAGACAGACAGAGATAGACATATATACAGACAGACAAACGGAGATAGAGCCAGGCCGCCAGCAGCCGGCCGGCCAGCCAATCACCCAGTCAGCCAGCCAGCCAGCCAGCCAGCCAGCCAATCACCCAGTCAGCCAGCCAGCCAGCTAGCCTGCCAGCCAGCCAATCACCCAGTCAGCCAGCCAATCACCCAGTCAGCCAGCCAGCCAGCCAGCCTGCCTGCCAGACATAGGGCATAGGTTATAAGACATTCTGAAAGGGCGTTGCACAAATGTTGCATATGGGTTATTATCGAGATTTTTTGATATTTCATCGACCACTTACAGGTATACTTACAGGATTCATTACCTTTGTAACTTGTGAGTTCATTACCTTTGTACCTAGTTCAGCTATCAAAACTTTGGGGGTCCAGTCCCTGGACCCAATACCTTTGTAACTTGTCATAATTGTGACCAGACCTACCTGGAATTCATTACCTTTGTAAATTGTGATTTCATTACCTTTGTAAATTGTGAGTTCATTACCTTTGTAACTTGCTCAGCAATCAAAACTTTGAGGCCCAGTCCCTGGACCCATTATGTACCTCTGTAATCTTTTGACTATCGCCCACAGGATGGGTATGGGGTGCATAATAAAGATAAAACTAACTAAACACTTATGGCCACATCCAACTCAAAGCCACTAAACTCGGGGTCAAAATCACTTTCCTCTTAAAATGGGAGAGTTAATACTACATGAAATCAGTGAATCCCAGGTGTTTGCTACGCTGTTTGCTCTAGCTGGCGCTCATTTGAACTGGTGCTCCCACAAGAAACTAAGTGGTCCCAGATTCTTTTAATACCATGCACATTGAGTGTTAGGACCCATTGTATGCTGACAAGGCATCTCAGGCCAATCATGCCAAATCTGAAGGCAGGAAAATAAAACGTACATATACGTTTGGGACACTAGCGGTAAAAACATATACAGTGGACCCCCGGTTAACGATATTTTTTCATTCCAGAAGTATGTTCAGGTGCCAGTACTGACCGAATTTTTTCCCATAAGGAATATTGTGAAGTACGTTAGTCCATTTCAGACCCCCAAACATACACGTACAAACGCACTTACATAAATACACTTACATAATTGGTCGCATTTGGAGGTGATCGTTAAGCGGGGGTCCACTGTATATACCCTTGGACCGTTTACGGTTAAGTAAAATCACAAGTACAATAATATATAACCTCTGGACTTCTGTTGCTTAAACTTCTTGATATAACAATAATAAAGGAAGTTAATGAACAAATGGCACCATTACTACAATATTATTGATTCAAAATTATTCAATGTTCTTTAGTTTTGCAGACTGAGTAAATGGTGATTATTATAATCATAACCGAGCAATAAACCTGTAAGGGTCATACAGCACTGCTGAATTGATGGTGAAGATACAGCAATGTATTTTTGTTACAATAGAAACAGAATAGGATAAAATGTGTTACCAATTATGTGTGGGAGTTGATGGAAGGAGAACAGGAACAGAACAGGATGAAAACTGGTTGTGTTTAACATAGTGTAGTATTGCTGTCTTAATTACGTAGGATGATTATCCTAGAGAGAGATTATCCCAGATAAAGTATGCTACATAAAATCTCTCTGGTATACAGACATATTCCACTTTATGTCATTTTGGCCAACAAATTCACCTTTACGTCACTTTTCTGGAGTAAATTTCAGTTCAGCGAACGTCATTACGTCCGACTTTATGTCCCTCACCAACATCACCTGCATCATAATTTTTTTGTGTTCATTATTCTTTAAAAATACAGTGGACCCCCGCATAACGATCACCTCCGAATGCGACCAATTATGTAAGTGTATTTATGTAAGTGCGTTTGTATGTGTATGTTTGGGGGTCTGAAATAGACTAATCTACTTCACAATATTCCTTATGGGAACAAATTCGGTCAGTACTGGCACCTGAACATACTTCTGGAGTGAAAAAATATCGTTAACCGGGGGTCCACTGTATAATTAAAATATATTTTTAGTGTTTTTTAAGATTAAGCAATGGTTATATTCTTTCACGAGTTATTTAAGCTAGTTTTACGACGTCTGTCGTCATTTTAAGGCAGTTTTAAGACGCTACGTCTGGTTTATGTCAAAAATCGGGTTACGTCGGGGGATCCTGGAACCAATTAATGACGTAGGACGGGGTATTGGGGTATGACTGTACTTGATAAAGTATCCCAGACAAATTATCCCTGAAAAGTACCCTGGAATATCCTTGATCAAGTATTCCAGATAAATTATCTCTCTGGGATACTTGATCAAGTATCCCAGAGAGATAATTTATCTGGAATACTTGACCAAGGGTATTCCAGGGTACTTTTCAGGGATAATTTGTCTGGGATACTTGATAATCTCTGGAATACTTGATCAAGTATCCCAGAGATTATCTTTGAAAAGTATCCCAGAGAGAGGGTATCTAAGATAAAGTATCCCAGATACTTCATAAATTACCCCAGGGAGAGTATCCTTGAAAAAGTATCCCAGAGAGAATCCCTGTAAAGTATTATAGATAAATCACCTCTCCAGGATACTTTATCAAGTATCCCTGAGAGATTATCTTTGAAAAAATATCCTAGAGATTATCCTGATAAGTATCCCGGAGAGAGTATCCCTGAAAAGCATCCTAGAGTATCCCAGATAAATAATATGTGATAATCTCCCTGGGATACTTTACTGAGTATCCCAGGGAGATTATCACATAAAAAGTATCCCTGTGAGAGTATCCCTCAGCCTTCACCAGGTGACTAACATCCTCGTCTCCTCACTCACTTTCCCCTTATTAACCCTCTCTCACACTCCCTGGATCAAAAGCCAACCCCTGACCTATCTAGTAAGGTATATTAACCTGGATAACGCGTCATAACAGCAGAAAACACCAGTGTTAAGGAGACACCATTGTATTGTTGATGCTTTATAGGGCCACTTCTTCTTGTGTTGGATTTTAGGGCCACTGACAACATACGCCGTATCGAACCCGGCCGTCCAGTGCTAGGAAAGGGAACTTCGACCAAAGTTTATTCTCTATAAGGATTACAATGCTGAGTTTACAGAAATTTGGTTATTGTTTGGTTTAACATGTAGTAAAATTGAGATTACAGAGTGTACCACTAGAACGCTTAGCATGGCTAGGCATTACAGAGTGTACCACTAGAACGCTTAGCATGGCTAGGCATTTCGGGCATACTTAGTTTTATTCTTAAATGTAAAATATTACAAATTATGAGGTAAGTTGGTATTATGGCTAAGTGACTAAATACTATTTTGTGAGTTTAGCAGTGTGAATGCTTTTGTTTTGGCACAGTATATAGTTTCAGTATTGGAGTATCACAGGATTCATTATATTAAGACTGAGATTAATATTTCTGTTTATGGTCAAATGAGTGTGCGAGTGTAAGTGTGAACCACCAGGTGGTATTCGTGAAGTTAGTTGACGGGGTGTATCGGGGAGATAAGATGTTTTCTAATGGTAGTTTTGAAGGTGATGAATGTGTCTGCAGTTCTAGAGTTCTCAGGTAGGGTATTCCAGATTTTAGGGCCTTTGACATACATTGAATTTTTGTAAAGGTTTAGTCGGACATAGGGGAATGTCGTAGAGATGTTTGTTTCTGGTGTTATGCCTGTGGGTTTTTGTCACAACTATCAAGAAAGCGTTTAAGGTCAAGGTTGATATTAGAGCTTAAGGCCCTGTAGATATAGATTGCACAGTAGTAAGTGTGGATGTACTGAACTGGGAGTAAGTTTAGATCTTTGAAGAGTGGGGGGGTGTGCTGCCAGGGATGGGATTTAGTGATTATTCTTACTGCAGCTTTTTGTTGGGTTATTATTGGCTTTAGGTGTGTTGCTGCAGTTGATCCCCAAGCACAAATAGCATAGGTGAGGTATGGATAAATAAGTGAGTGGTATAGTGTGAGAAGGGCATTTTGCGGCATGTAGTATCGTATCTTGGAGAGGATCCCAACCGTTTTGGATACTTTTTTGGCTATATGCTGGATATGGGTGCTGAAATTCAGGTTATTGTCAAGGTATAAACCTAAGAATTTTCCCCCATTATTTCTGGTAAATTAGAGTGTTGTCAATCTTAATGTTAATTTGTGCATCTCCTGCTCTGCTACCAAACTAATATAGTAAGTTTTGTCAGTGTTAAGCGTAAGTTTGTTTGGCTGTCATCCAAGTCGATATTTTAGTCAGCTCCTCATTCACAATGGTGTTAGGGGGGCAAGATTAGGGTGAGAGATGACATAAGTCGTGTCATCAGAAAAGAGAATGGGTTTTAGGTGTTGGGATACGTTTGGTAGGTCATTGATGTATATGAGGAAGAGCAGGGGACCAAGGACACTTCCCTGGGGAACTCCAGTTATCAAGTGGCCGTGTTGCTGATGCTGTGTCTTTAATGGGACGTACTGATACCTATTAGTAATGTAAGATTTGAAATAAGCAAGCGCATGGCCTCTTATACCGTAGTGGTCAAGTTTGTGGAGTAGGATTTCGTGGTTTACTGTGTCAAAAGCTTTTCTTAGGTCAATAAAAATTCCTAGTGGATATTCCTTATTTTCCAGTGCTGTGTAAAGCAGATCTAGCATTTTTATGATTGCATCATTAGTGCTTTTATTTTTCCTGAATCCAAACTGGCAGGGGTTGAGTATGTTTTGAGCCGTTATAAATGAATACAGTCTCCTGTGCACAAGTTTCTCAAAGATTTTGGATAGCAATGGTAAGTTAGATATTGGCCTATAGTTGTTTAAGTCTGTAGGGTCACCACCTTTATGTAATTGGTGTAACCCTTGCCATCTTGAGTAGTTTCGACCAAAGTGGAAGAATGTTTTGACTAACAACTACGTATTATGTGTCCCTGATACGTCCTGAAGCCAGCAGGAAGGAGCAGGTACAGGTCAATATCTCCTGATGGTCCAGAGGGGGAAACCCCCTCCCCGTTGAGGAGGACAGGTTGAGTGAAAGTGGGCACCCCAAGTGTGCGCAAGGCCGCACGGAGAGTAGTCCGTGCAGAGTGATAACGTGGGCACCACAGTAGGAAGTGTTCCACCATCTCAGGCTGTGAGGGACATCATGGTTAGTTTAGTTATTTTAATATGTTTATTATGCACCCCATACCCATCCTGTGGGCGGTAGTCAAAAGATTACAGAGGTACATAATGCGTCCAGGGACTGGGCCTCAAAGTTTTGATAGCTGAGCAAGTTACAGAGGTAATGAATTCACAATTTACAAAGGTAAAGAACTCACAATTTACAAAGGTAATGAACTCCAGGTAGGTCTAGTCACAATCATGACAAGTTACAAAGGTATTTACAGATTACAGAGGTACACAATGGGTCCAGGGACCGAGCCCCAAAGTTTTGATGGACATCACGGGCAGTAAGGAGAGTCTGTCATCCGGAGGCGGTGCAGATGAGTCGCGAGTGCTCGACTTGTAGGCGAGTCAGTGCAACGTCCACCGAGCGGTTGGAATGGCGAGCCCAAGGGCATGGGCCATTAAAAGTTCGGACAGAGCCCAACGCCGAAGAAGAGAGGGAGTGTGCAAGGCCCTCTTGCCACTAATGATGGATTCCCTTCCAAACAGCCCTTGTGAAAGCACTGTGGCCCAGGGCAATAGGGGTAATAGTTGGAAGTGTGTGTGCGAGGGAGGCCGCCCGATCTGCCACTTCATTGCCCCAGATTCCAACATGGGCGGGTACCCACTGAAGGGAGATGCTCCAACCTGGGCTCCGCAAGAAGCACAGGAGGAGAGATTGTGTCCGACGAACGAGGACACGCAGTGGCCGTGGACGGGCAGAGCACAAAAGTGCCAGGGAAGATTGGGAATCAGAGAAGAGAACCAGTGGTTGTGGGGAAATGTGATCTAGGACAAAAGCCAGAGCCTGGTGAATGGCGAAGAGCTCCCCTGCCAGAACAGAATGAGCAGGGTCTAACCGCCACGTCTGACACAGGGAAAGATTAGCACAGAAGGCCGCAGAGGATGTAGAAGGGGGGGAGGACTGTGCTGAGCCATCCATGTAGATGGAGAATGAAGAGCCATACGTAACAGAGCGAAACTCTTTAAATAGAAATGCAACTAACTGAGGGGGTTCCCTGTTCCTGTAGTGCCAATCCAGGTGAATGTATCGCATCAGGTCCAGCCAGGGGGGGACCGGAGAGTGGAGAGGGGAGGGAGTCATCACAAGTGCAGGAAGTGTAAGGCAGGTCAGGGAATGCTGGGCCCTGGCCACAAAGGAAGTTGAACCAAACGTGGGGGGACAGAGGCTGTCTCTCACATCTGTGGGGAGAGGTGACAGGGGTGAGTACAAGGCAAAGAGGCCATGTGATGGAGTCGTAAACAGTTCCTCGCTGTCCTCACCGACGAGAGAGGGACTATCCCCGACTCCACCTCCAAGGCTGCGATGGGGGTGGAGGGAATGCCCCCAGCATATTACGAATGGCTGAATTGTGGAGAATATCTAAGTGATGGAGAGAGGAGGAAGAAGCTGAGTGTAGTGATACTGCTCCTGTGGGGAGCAGCAGCAGGATAATACTGCACCACCTCTCGGGGCCCTTAACAACAACAACAGTTTGGTGTGTGTCATGGGCGCCAACACATGGTGTGTGATTCCCTTCTCTTCTATCCCTATATTAGTGATGCAGATTACTTGGTGAGTTTAAATATGTGGCCTGTAGTTATAATTTTTCTCTTGACATATGCAAGACATCACCATCCCTGTAGAAGCCGTTATTAGATGTACTAGTCATTATATTTTGTTGTTGCAGAAGCACTATGAAGATTCTATGTTCAATAAAGCCTAGAGATAAGGCCTGTGTTTCTATCACAACACTGAGCCATACACCTCACTTGCATAAGTGAGCTTGCTGTGAACCATAGCTGTATAGAACCTATAGAGAAGGTCTTGATCCGCCCCCCACTTGGTGCCAGAGATCCTGCACATAAGTGCGATGTGACGTGCACACGAGAGGTGCAGGGCCGCTATGTGTTTCTTCCATGTTAAGAAAGGTGCATCTAAGGTGACTTCCAACCAACGATGAGAGGAGACCAAAGGGATTGGCGTCTGGTTCAATGAGACTGATGGAAGAGTGGGGAGTCGGCATCTAGTAAAGCATAAGAGCTTGGACTTAGCGTCAATAACCTCCAAACCCCAGGTGGTGGCCCAAGATGTCATGCGTTGCAGGGCATCCTGAAGTGTTTCCTGTGGGCACTGCACATAAGGGCCACATTATCCGCATATGCCAGGGTATGCACTCCCTGGATGGAAGGGAGATCTGACAATAAGACAGAGAAAAGGAGTGGGCTAAGAACAGATCCCTGGGGCGCTCCCCGGTATACAGGACGGGGCGAGGACAAAGTGCTACCCACTGCTACACGAAAACGTTGCACATTCAACAGAGGGGAGCTCCTGTCAACCCCATGCAGGCCAGCTTGAAAACAATTGCTGTGTGTGATGCAGAGTCACATGCTCTGCGTAGGTCCAAAAATGCAGCCAAAAGGAACTCACGGCATTCAAATGAAGTGTGCACTAGCTGTGTAAATTGAAGCAAAGGTCGAGGGTGGATCGACCCTCTCGGAAGCCACTCTGGTTAACAGACAGGAGGCCATGTTCCTCAGTCCACCAAGAGAGACGAGTAGCCACCAGTCATTCCAGCACCTTACCCAAGCAGGGCAGTAAAGCAATGGGCCGGTAAGAGCTCGGTTGGGTATCATCCTTGCCGGCTTTAGAATTGGAATCAGAAGAGAGCGCTTCCACATATCAGGGAAGTGACCCGTAGACCAGCTGGTATTCAAAACCTCCAGCATAGCTTCTGTACAGGATGGGGGTAGATGTAGTATAAATGAATAGGGTAAGTTGTCCTCCCCTGGAGAAGAGCGGGAAGAAAGTTGGGACAGGGCCTGCTGCAGTTCATGGGAGCTAAAGGGAGATGCCAGCACCTGGCAGTGAAC